GATTCTGCACATGTGGTCTCCATACTGTGAGCAGCAAATATCTGCATAACTTCAAGATCTCTTTATTTGTAGCCTGTTCATGAGGCCAGAAAAAAAGTTTGCTGCTAGTATGAAGCCTGACACCCTGACATTGCTAAGAAAAAATTACTAAAAAATGTACAAATATATTCTACAGAATAAGGTTCTATTAGAACTTAATATCCAAAAAAGAACATTTTTCAGGAGCATTCTCAACGATCACTTGGGGGATTCCTTCTGTGGATTACCTGTGGCCACTTCCCCCTGCTATGGTGATGTTTCTGCTTGTCTTTCTGTATCCTTATTCTTGGAAGAAACTTTATGGGGATTCAGAACTGCTAAAAAATGTTTTCTGCTCCAAGAAACCCTAATGTGTAAAAAAATAAATAAATAAAACAAATTAAGAAGTGTTTATTCCCTGAGCCTAGCTGCTGTTGCTGTTGCATTGATTTATAGAATATTAATTACTTGACAGAGAAGGCAAATGTGGAAGATGTGTAGCTAAAGGATGAGATATCCACTGTCAGTTAAAAACCAAAGAAATCATGGCATTTTAGAGCAGAATGGTCTACTCCAATATGATCATTCCACAAAGGAAACAAAGAGGTGAAGCTACCTGCACAAAGTCACACAGCTTTGCAGAGTTGGGTGGGGCAGGGCAGAGGAGTAGCTCGTCTCCTGGCATGCTGCTGATAGAACATCTCAGAGCTGGTGGCATTGATCAGAGGGAACAGAAAATTTTGACTTAACCCCACTTTACATGTACATCTATGACGCATTTCAACAACGAAGAAGCATCTTTTGTACTGTCTGCCAGACAGAGACCTTTACTATTGGTATGTTTAAAAATTAATTATATGGAAGAGTAAAGACGGTGCACCCATCTCGGAGACTAACCACCGCAAATGACAAGTGAAAAAGATGGAGCTGTTACAGTGCTCCTGACCAGGTTTATTTTCCCACAGGTTACTATGTACGGAGTTCAACATGCCTACTCTCAGATCAGGGACAGGCTTATGCCAGCCTGTGGAGGCTATGCTCAGGGCGCTGGTATAGCCACGGAAGCCTTCTAGTCTCCACCTTGGATCTATGGGGATATCAAGAGTGCTTGTCACTTCTGGCCTGGGTTTTCTAGGAACTTCCCTTATTGATGTTTCACTGAAGTAGTTGCAGGAAGACATTATTCCGGGTGTCCGTGCAAATGCTCTCTGAAACCTCCAAATTATTTTTAAAGTACCATGGGGGAATATAGCATTTATGGTTTGGGAGCTGGCTATCTGTACAAAGCTAAAATAGAAAATCTTCTCAAGATGAGTGTAAACAGACCTTCAGGAGACTGGGAATCTTGTTGCTTGTGGCTGTGTGGGGACTGGAACCTACTGGAACCATCACTCATTTCTTACTTGACCCTGGATTGCTTTGTGGAGACCACTTGGTACCTTCTACAACTAAAGCCTCTTGCAGGGGACATTAGGCAGATGTACCTCTGAAAGTATATTCATCTGTCTCTACAGATACAGTTTCGGAGGTACATCTGCCTTATCTGTGAGCAGGGAGGTTGGAGTTTTGCATCTCTACTAACACACATATTAGCAAAAATGGGAAACATTGTGCTAACCTCTTTTAGAACAGCTGCAAAATTTCTAAATTACAAAATTCACTCTTAAAAATTTTAAATTCAGATGTAATTACATGCAATGAAGTACACCCATCCTAAGTGTACAGTTTTATGTGTTTTTGATAAATGCATACATTAGCATAACCAACACCCCAACCAGGATAAAGAGCATCGCCATCACCCTAGAAAGTTGTTTGAGCCTCTTGCTAGTCATCTGAAACCCCTCTCCTCACCCCCCAAGGGCAACCACGATTCTGATTTCTATCTCATGGATCTGTTTTGCCTGTTCTTGAACTTCATATGAATGGACCAATACAGTATGTACCCTTTTTTGTCTGGCTTATACTTTTGTCTTTTTGAGACTCATCCGTGTTTTTGCAGGGATTAGTAGTTCCTTCCCTTTCATTGCTAAGCAGTATTGTGTTGAATGGATGTATCATGATTTTTTTATCCATTCTTCTTCTGATGTATATATTTGGGTAGTTTCCAGTTTTTGCTATTATAAATAAAGCCCTTATTAACATTCCCATACAGATATTTTTGTGAACATATTTTCATTTCTTTTGGATAGATAGTTAGAAGCAGAATTGCTGGATCATAAGTTAGGTGTATGTTTAACCTAATAGGAAACTGCCAAACAGTTTAGATAACGCACTCTTAATTAATGAACCTGATTACCTATGAAGTGAATTCTTTTAATTTTTTTGTTTTATGATTTGTTTTCATCTTAAATTGCATTGATATGATACAGATAAACATTCTTCTGAAATATATCCTTAAGGATATGACCTTGATTAACTATATCATTTCATTGGTTCTTTAATGCTTCTGAGTTGTTTATAAAAACAGCTCGGAATCTGGAAGACTCTCTGGAATGATCTCTTTCATGGATCTCTCCCATATTTTTCTTTATTACCTTCTTTAGTATCTTACACATACAAAAATATGTGTAACATATGTGTTATTTATAAAGCATAATTATAAAATGGAAATTTGTAAATCCATCACTCAATCCAAGACTGAATACATTTCCAAGAACATTGCATGTGCCTACAGGCTTCTTCCCACCCAGTCCAAGGGAATTCATATTTTTTGTTAATCTTGCTAAAACAAAAGCAAAAGAAAACAAAAATATTATGTATTTAATTCCCTTCCTTTAAAACATTTTGCCATAATTTTTTTAGTTTTCCTTGCTTTCAAGAGCTTTATCAAAATGGTGTCACGCTGTATGTAGTTTTTCAGGACTCATATATTTTTACTCAGCATGTGTTTCAAAGGTCTACCTATGTTGTGTGGTTAGACTTTATTCACTTTTGCTCCTGAATAACATCTTTCTGGGAATATATCACAATGGATTGGATTACTTGTAATACTCTCAATTATAATTCGTGCTGTTTCTCATAATTTCACTTGATATATACTCGTATTACATTTTAGGGAAGTCTGATACATTTAGCAGAGTAATTTGAGGTAAAAGTGTTATCAAGTAAACAGAGTTTTAAATAAATGAAAACAAGCAACCAGTTTCTGCTCCAAAAGATGGAGAATCTATAAGATACCTGGGGAAAATGGTGTAAAACAAACACTATGATGTATTTGTCAGTGTGGATGTAAAGCAAAGACTCCAATCAATGCTTGTCTACGTAATTTTATTCTAAGGTTGAAAAAAATAAATTGCGTTGAGTATGTAGAATGTCATCATTGAAAGAAATAAAAATCAACTTCTTTGTCTATGTGATCAAGTTAGAGCCTAAAGGAAACCTAAATTTTGATTCTTTTTTTCTAAACATTAAACTGTGTAAATAATAAGCATTTAACTTCACTGTCTAAAATAACTTAATAATATTGATTTCCTACTACAGGAAAATGCAAACATTATTTAAAAAACGTATAAATTAAAAACCATTTTGGTAAAAAAAAAAAATCCTACAGCTACAAATAACTATGCATTTCTCTTTATTCTGTATACCTATTTATGTTCTAGGGGACAACTGAAACGTCATTTTTATTACTAATACTACAAATATATTGGGTTGTATTTAAAGATTTTATATTATCATTTAGCCTTTTAAAAGTCAGCTCTAAATGTTTGTCTTAATTTACAAGTATATATTAAAAAATTCTGAACACCAAATATAGTGAAAATGTGATATGGATATACCTTTGCATTTAACTCCACAGTGGATCTGCAGGCATCAAACCAATCTCATACAGGGAACTCTGAAGAAATATTTGAAAATCAGTAGACCAAATTTTAATTATTCATGTGTACTGCCTAATTTTTAAATGATACATGCTAAATTTAAGATTCTAATATATTTCTTTGTTAATGTGCAGGAACATCTAAACCTGAAACTTTTTATTTAAAAATTAAGCTGAATTTCAGTGAAACAAAATAATCCCATATGAATAACTCTCTTAAGTATAAAAGGTTTATTTTCTTTCTATACAACTGACTCAGTGAATTGAGCCTAAAAATTCCAAGGGGGAAAATGATTTAGGAAATAAATACAGAAAAAAAGGGCTAAATTTCCGTTATGATAGCTTCCAACCTGTTTTCAGCTCTGAATTTTAAAAACTGTTTACAAACGATGGGATGTATAATGTAACGCAGAAATCTTTTACAATTACAGAGTAATGAAAGAAATGTACTTTTCTTTTACAACAGGTCCCCTCTTACCAGACAGGCTAATTGTTTATGAGACAAATACTTCCACTCGATCTAGACATTCACAACTCTTATTAGCCAACTTGTTTTGTATTTGTTATTGACATCAATTAGCCTGAGTCATGAAACCAGACCACATTAAGGCGACACGTGGTCTCTAATTACTATTTTTAAAAGTCCACGTATTTCAAACTCCTCTCTCCTGCCATTGCTGGGCTGTTTTCCCCTTGGAGGATTTGGTCTCCACAGCATTTATTCATTAGATGGCAGTTCCAGGAAAGTCTCGCTTTGGGAAAACCTATTTTCAGGAACATTCAAGATACCGCGGAGGAGAATTGGGCTTGGTGCTGGGTTTTAGTCACTTACGTAGCAAACGAAGCAAGAGGGACGTGCCCGGGAGGACCCGAGGCAGGTGCGGGTGGGTTTCCGCAGTGGCCACTGATTTCGGGTGCGTGCGGCGTGCTCTCGGGTCGGGACCAGAGCCAGGAGACACATTCGGGCCCGGCCCCCGGCCCCCTACACCCTCCTCGGGGGCCCCTCGGACACGCCCCCCCCCAGCCCCGGGGCCCCTCAGCCCNCCCCGGGCCGCTGCCGCCTTCAGCGTATTGTTTCCTTCGCCCTTGCTTTTGGAGGGGGAGCGAAGACTGAGTTTGAGACTTTTTTCTCTTCCTTTCCTTATTTTTTCTTTTTTCTTTTGAGAAGGGAATTTCGTCCTAAATAAAAGGAATGAAGTCCGGTTCCGGAGGAGGGTCCCCGACCTCGCTGTGGGGGCTCCTGTTTCTCTCCGCCACGCTCTTGCTCTGGCCGACGAGTGGAGAAAGTGAGTGTTTGCCCGCCGCCCGCGGCCACTGCGGGAACTTTTCCTCCGAGGGGCTGCGCCCTGTTTGCGAAACCCGAGTTGCCCCGTCGCAGCTGTCGGGCCCCCGGGGTCGGGAGCGGCGGGGCGGGGCGCGGCGCGGAGGGGCTCAGCCGAAGCCCGGAGCGTGCCCGGGCCCCAGTTCGTTTGGAGCCCGAGGGGCCCTCGCAGCGCATCCCCGCGCGGGAAGGGCCTCGGGGACTTTCTCTTTCGCCGTCCCAAGAGCCCTGTCCCACCGCCTGAGGGGTGGGCAGCGCTCACTCCCGGGCGTCCCGGTGGCCGGCCTAGACGCGGGGACTCGGTAGGGAAGTTGGTACCACGGCGGGCCCCGCAACCCCAATCTACCGAGCCCCTCACCTCGCCCCTCCCCGGCGCTCGGGCCGGTCCGCGCACAGGTTGACCCCCGCGCGGCGCGCAGACATTGATGACGGCACCTGTGGCCGCGCCGCGTGTTCGCTGCTGGGGCAGACTTGGTGCCCGGTGGCGGGGAGCTGCCCGGCCCACGGGGTGCACATTGCCCTCGAGGGGGAGGTACCCCGCAGAGAGGCCCCGAAACCGCAAGATACGTTTCTGAACTTGCCGGCGCGGCCTCTCGTCGCTCTGTGTGCTTTACCACTCGGGTCCCTGGCCTTCCCTGTCATTTTGGCTCACTCCGCGTCGGGATACCTGCCCCCAGCATCCCGGGCTGCTACGTGCGGGTGGGGGGACCGTTCCCGGCACAGCCCCTGGGGAAGTGCAAGGTCGGGGATCTCCAGCCTGGCTCTTCTGGGGATCGCGACTGGGCCCCCAGTTCAGAAGGTTCTGGGACCGTCTCCCAGTTTCTGTCCAGCTCGTGGACGCCTCTTCTCCTCCTTTAGGGGGAGGGCGTGCTGTAGCGGGGGAAGCGTCCGAGTGTGCGTTAGTGGTGCACGGTCGGAGCCGACATGCCTTTCCACACACGTGCTCGCAACGCGGTGTGTAGCTGCCGCCACACGGCCGCTCGGGGACATCTAGACGCCAGGTCCTGGCGAGAGGTGTCGTGCGCTGTCATTTAAGGGTCGCCAGGATCTGTTTGGTTTTGCGAGCTCGCAGCCCTGGCCTTGGTTTTGTTGTGGCCAGAGCTGTGCTGCACTCCCTCCGCCCGCCCCGCACTCCCTTTGTACATAGTTAACAAGCAGTGTCGCTCCACAGTCGCCGTCGCTTGCAATCTGATAGCTTTTGTTTTGGTGGCGTCGGGTAGGGGTAGGTGGGGAAGCGCGGGGACGCAGGGAGTGAGAGCTCCCCACGGTGTGCGAAGGCAGGAGAAGGAGGGGGTTTTATTCTCGAAAAATTAAAGCGTGGCTTACTGGTACATTCGAGGTGGTGGGGTAATCTGAACACGATTAAAAGTTTAAATGCAGTCGTAGAACGGGCGGGGAGCGGTGAGGGCGTGTTTGGTGAGTAATGTTTGTTGAGGGTATGCAGGTGGTGACGGTTAACTTTGAAAAATCACGATTGAGCTTTGAAGTGTGAGGGGGAGAAACAGGAGGCAGCGGGGGCTGTGTGGCCCCATTACAGGGGCGATTCAGAAAGGCTGTTTCTATAAGCAAATCCTTCCTAAACGTCTTGTAAGAAATGAGTCCGTTATGAAGAAAGAACAGATCTTTATAGAATTAGCGCGTTTACTGCACAGAGTAAGACGCAGACTGGGGCCGGACCTTCCACGAATCTGGGCTCTCTGCGCCCTGTTTGCGAAACCCGAGTTGCCCCGTCGCAGCTGTCGGGCCCCCGGGGTCGGGAGCGGCGGGGCGGGGCGCGGCGCGGAGGGGCTCAGCCGAAGCCCGGAGCGTGCCCGGGCCCCAGTTCGTTTGGAGCCCGAGGGGCCCTCGCAGCGCATCCCCGCGCGGGAAGGGCCTCGGGGACTTTCTCTTTCGCCGTCCCAAGAGCCCTGTCCCACCGCCTGAGGGGTGGGCAGCGCTCACTCCCGGGCGTCCCGGTGGCCGGCCTAGACGCGGGGACTCGGTAGGGAAGTTGGTACCACGGCGGGCCCCGCAACCCCAATCTACCGAGCCCCTCACCTCGCCCCTCCCCGGCGCTCGGGCCGGTCCGCGCACAGGTTGACCCCCGCGCGGCGCGCAGACATTGATGACGGCACCTGTGGCCGCGCCGCGTGTTCGCTGCTGGGGCAGACTTGGTGCCCGGTGGCGGGGAGCTGCCCGGCCCACGGGGTGCACATTGCCCTCGAGGGGGAGGTACCCCGCAGAGAGGCCCCGAAACCGCAAGATACGTTTCTGAACTTGCCGGCGCGGCCTCTCGTCGCTCTGTGTGCTTTACCACTCGGGTCCCTGGCCTTCCCTGTCATTTTGGCTCACTCCGCGTCGGGATACCTGCCCCCAGCATCCCGGGCTGCTACGTGCGGGTGGGGGGACCGTTCCCGGCACAGCCCCTGGGGAAGTGCAAGGTCGGGGATCTCCAGCCTGGCTCTTCTGGGGATCGCGACTGGGCCCCCAGTTCAGAAGGTTCTGGGACCGTCTCCCAGTTTCTGTCCAGCTCGTGGACGCCTCTTCTCCTCCTTTAGGGGGAGGGCGTGCTGTAGCGGGGGAAGCGTCCGAGTGTGCGTTAGTGGTGCACGGTCGGAGCCGACATGCCTTTCCACACACGTGCTCGCAACGCGGTGTGTAGCTGCCGCCACACGGCCGCTCGGGGACATCTAGACGCCAGGTCCTGGCGAGAGGTGTCGTGCGCTGTCATTTAAGGGTCGCCAGGATCTGTTTGGTTTTGCGAGCTCGCAGCCCTGGCCTTGGTTTTGTTGTGGCCAGAGCTGTGCTGCACTCCCTCCGCCCGCCCCGCACTCCCTTTGTACATAGTTAACAAGCAGTGTCGCTCCACAGTCGCCGTCGCTTGCAATCTGATAGCTTTTGTTTTGGTGGCGTCGGGTAGGGGTAGGTGGGGAAGCGCGGGGACGCAGGGAGTGAGAGCTCCCCACGGTGTGCGAAGGCAGGAGAAGGAGGGGGTTTTATTCTCGAAAAATTAAAGCGTGGCTTACTGGTACATTCGAGGTGGTGGGGTAATCTGAACACGATTAAAAGTTTAAATGCAGTCGTAGAACGGGCGGGGAGCGGTGAGGGCGTGTTTGGTGAGTAATGTTTGTTGAGGGTATGCAGGTGGTGACGGTTAACTTTGAAAAATCACGATTGAGCTTTGAAGTGTGAGGGGGAGAAACAGGAGGCAGCGGGGGCTGTGTGGCCCCATTACAGGGGCGATTCAGAAAGGCTGTTTCTATAAGCAAATCCTTCCTAAACGTCTTGTAAGAAATGAGTCCGTTATGAAGAAAGAACAGATCTTTATAGAATTAGCGCGTTTACTGCACAGAGTAAGACGCAGACTGGGGCCGGACCTTCCACGAATCTGGGCTCTCCTGCTCTTTGTTTTCTAAACTTCCAGCACACTGGATTGGGCGGAGGGCTTCCGGCTCCCTTCTGCTAAGGCATTTAGGTGGCGTTTGGGGCACAGAGGGGGGATTTCTAGTCTTTAAAAGCTAAATATAGTTGAGGAGACACCGGAGTGCTAATCCATTTTATTATGGCATGTTATTGAATTATGTAGTTTCTTTAGTTTTATTACTTAATGTTAGTAAAGTTCTGAAGTTCAGAATAGCAGTGATGGCCTTGCTTCTCCATGTCGGGCATTTTAAAATAGGATGTCTTGCTGAGAGCGTTCTTCACGAAGAATATTCTTTGTGAAAGGCCGTTCTCTTCTTGAGAACACAGACAGGAAGGGAAGGGGTATTTTAATGTACGTTTTTAATCCCGTGATGCCAGAGCTTTTCCCGAGGATCCCTTTTAAAATGGTTAGTTCCTTAAAAAACCTGATGGATAGCCAGAGGGCACCCCAAATCCTGATTATGGTTTGCTGAAGTCCTGATTAGGTACCTGTCCCTCCCTCCATCTCTGAAGTTTTGAGGATTAAATGATAACGCATATGAATATGCGTTCAATTTTTAGTTGGAAGAGTGCTGGGCCACTTAACTCTGACAGAAATAAGTTACTGAGTCCTGTCAGAGATGAGCGTTCTTTCCACTGTTGTCTAGTGTGTGATAAAGATTCAGGTATTGTTGGTTCACTTGCAGGTATTTCACTGGCATTCAGAATTAAGTCTTTCCCCTTTGAATGTTACAGCAGTAGGGAGAATGTTTTATCTTAGAACATTTTTTGAAGCAGATGCAGTCATATGCATTTGTTTTTTATCACTGTAATGTGAACAGAGCATCTAAGTAAGGGAGGTTTGGAAGTTAAGGGGTGATGGCTGTTTTCTTTTTTAGAATCAGTGTGCACTTTATTGTGGCCACCTCCTTAAAAGGTTTCAGTTATCTTTCTGCCCCAGGCACAGTCACATCCTATTGTCAGAAAAATGTAGGTATGTGAAATGTTGGTATTTAAAGTTAGTGTTTTATTACCATAAGGAGAATCAAGAATGAGAACTTTTGAAAGAACCTAAATAGCAAATTATAGTTTAGACTCTCTAGAAGGAAATAGCAAGTAAACTATATTTTGTAAAGGGGTTGGGTGTGGGTCAGGATTTGAAGTTTAAAAAGTCGAATGTTTTATTTGTCAAAAGGCTTAGAAAAGTCTAACTCAAAGAAGTATGCTAAGGTTGAATAGATGAACCTTCAAAACATTGCAAAAAGTGAAAGAAGTGATTCCATTTATATGAAATGCCCAGAATAAGCAAATCCATAGAGACGGAAAGTAGATTAGTGGTTGCCAGGGGCTGGGGGAGGATAGAATGGGAAGTGACTGTTAATGGGTACAGGGTTTCTTTTTGGGGTGATGAAAATGTTCTAAAATTAGTTTGTGGTAATGGTTGCACAACTCTTAATATACTAAAAACCATTGAACTGTATGCTTTAAATCAGCGACTTTTACAGTATGTGAATTATATCTCAAACTTTTTTAAAAAAATGTGAGAGTGCTAAGGTTGAAAAGAATGCATTATTGCTATCTTGG